CGGGGCGCCGCGGGCCGCTGCCCAGCCCGGTGCCCCCCGCCCGCAGCCTCGCCCGGGAGCGCAGCGCAGCCACCGGCCAAGCTGTCACGAAACGCCTTCTTGGGGCGCCCCGGCGGAGTCCCCGGTAGCTTTGGGAAGAAGTGTTTTCAGTTTCAGGTGATGCGATTTCGGAAGAGTTCGGGTTTTAATAAACCCAAAGTTATAAAAGTTGTAAAAGTCTTTGTGAGCCGTCTCTCTTGCAGTCGTACAAATGAGTTCTCTTTCATAGTTTGAATTATGAGATATGAATTCTCTTGTATAGATTTTCTGTAAGTATTTTAAAAGGTATAGTTTCCTTTTAAGATATGTTAGATGTTTACAGTAGGATCATACATCTTTAAGTGATGTTGGAATTCTCTGTTAAGTGCTCTATAAATGCTCTGGCGAACATCTTGAGGTAACCAATAGGTAGATCATCTGAATCGAAGTAGACTTTCTGAACTCTAGTATTATGGAGTCTCTGCAGAGCTGTTCTGAAGACCTTGTGGTCACCTTCAGTTTTGGTTGTCTCAAAGCTTCAGAATGGGATTTTTATTTATTTGAAATGGTAGAATCTTTATTTCAAGCTTAAATGGCTTTTGGAAACATGGAGCTAAAGTTGACGTGCACGCAGTCTTAGTGCATTGGCATGAGTTTTTTATCCTCTGAAAAAGTACTAGTGTCACTAACATATACTGCAGACACTGTACTGCTTTATATTACCACACTCAGTCATCTTAAGTTTTTAAAAACTAAGATTAATGTTGAACTTTTTTATAGCCATGCAAGAAACGTCGAGAGGAAGATACTTCTGTAAAAACAATCACAAGATATTTTTCACCATTAGCAAAACCAGTGGATAAAGTGTTGTCACCACCAAAACCCAACAATATATTGGATTATTTTAAAAAGACATCTCTAACTGAGAAAGCTGCATTACCAGTTGTAGCTGGAGAAAATAAAACACCCTTGGATGCTGATGACAAAGACTGTAACTTACCTTTTAAACCACTTTTAAAGCGGAAGAGGAAAGGGAAGAGAGTTAATTTTAATAATAAACTAAGAGAGATGAAAGAATCTGAGAATGAACACGAAATAGAAATTAGTGGTGGTGACAATAGAGAAGCAACAGGACTGAAACAAGACACTAATGATTTTATTGCTACTTGTACTTTAGTTGACCAAAAATGTGCAAGAGAATTAGCAGAAGATAATGTGCAAAGAGAGAACTTCTCAAATGCTGTCATCTACAGCAAAGATGCGAAGAAAGTTGGTTCTGAAATAAATGGAACAAAAAATAGGATAAGAAAATCAAGGAAAAGGAAGCACAAAGTAAATATGGATTTGTCTGAAAGTTTTTCATCTGAAAACCAGCTGAATGAAAAGTGTAAAAAGGAAACTGAAGAGAAGAAAAAGATGGTATCTCCTACAATAGCAGAGTGTGACGCTACTATTAGTGACTCCGGTTTTCAAGTTCATACAGATGATAAGACATCACAGGTAAATCATAGTATAATAACAGTGTCATTTGAGGACTTCTTGAAGAGTCAGGGAGAAAATAATGTAGATCATGTTGAAGAAGACACAAAGCCAACAATGGACAATTCTGCTACAGCAAATGAAACGGACAAAAGTGATAGTATTAGTGACCCAGAAAAGTGTGAGGAATCTCAGCAGCTACCACTTAGAACTGTAACTGTCCTTGCCCAGGTTCATTCCATTCCCCCAAAATTAGCTCCTTTGCATAAGGAGCAAAAAGGCTCTAGGAAAATAGCTTCCATTTTTTTGAAGCAGAAAGGATGTGTAGGGGAAAAAGAAAGTAGCCCGCCCCCCTTGGACAGCGAACAAACTGAACAGGTTACTCAGAAAAGAAAATCTAATGTCGTTATTGAGGAAGAAGAATTGGAGTTAGCTGTACTAGAGACTGCAGGGTCAGATTCTTTGAAGCCAAAATGTACTCTGGAAGAAAGGCATCAGTTTATGAAGGCGTTTAGACAACCAACATCGGATGTAATAAAAACTGGAGTTAAAAAGGCACCTGGAAAACAAAAGCAAGCCATTGGAAAGTCGTCAAAAGAAAAAGAAGGACCTGAAGGTGACATTGCTTCAAATAAAGGTTTAGAAAGTGGAGTACCAGAAGAGTATGTGGACAAATATACACGTTCTAGTCCTGAAAACAATAGAACTAAAACCCAAAGACCTAAAAAGTTTCAGAAAAAAGGAAACAGAAGAAGGAAGACTTCGGAAACTAAGGAAACGAATGTCTCAAATGCTAGCAATTATAATGAAGGTGAGGATTCAAGAGCTAATGTTCTTACTAAGGAAAACACCTTAGATGTAAGAATTTCATCAAGTCCAAAAGTGAATGAGTTAAGGAGGAGTTTAAGGCAGAAGAAAATCAAAACATCAACAAATGTCACACCTAAAAAAACCAGTACTAGAAATACCTTTTCTGAAGATGAATTAAGTGGCTGTCCTTTTCAGACTTCTACACCAAAAGCAAGCAAGCGATCCTTGAAGAAAAGTAACGTGTACAAAGCTGAGGTGATTACAGCGCCCTTTGATGGAAACAGCCCGATAAGGTAAACATTTTAGAGTATATTCTACCTTTTCGCACTTTGTTTTCCTGCAAGTATTTTAAGAGTAAGACATAATTATAAATTGATTGGAATGCATACCAGAGCTGCATGAAAACTGATCATGGTAGATAATAATACAGAAGAACCAGAGTTGACTCTATAAATGTGTTTGCACTAAAGACACTAAAAAAAAAAACAGAACAAAACAAAGACACCACCAATTGGGGGGTTGCTTCTGTTTGCAGCACTGTATTTTTAAAGGCTTTTGAAAATGAGATTGAGAGTAACATTTCCTTTTCTTGAAAAGTAATAATTTCTTAATACTTTTTTTCCTAATTAGAATGAGGTTTACACGTATCAATGCGACTACAAAATCAAATAAAGCTGAAGCAATGAAAAATGAAGAGTTTAACTCCAAAAATATAAGGGTAATTTATGTAGCAGTTTGCATTTCAGTATTTTCTCATTTACTATACACATATAATCGTGTTAATATTCAGTATTATGTGATAGTTTAATGTAATACAATATGGCAGTTCTTAGATACCCTATGGAAAGAGAATATTACTGCAATTTATGATAGAATTCGAGATAGTTTGTTGTACAGTTATTGTACCTTAGATTTTAAAATATGTTTTATTTGTGTAAATCTACTTTTTGTAACAGAAAAATCCAATAAAATAGTATGCTCATGTGGTGCAGGTTCTTGGGATGGGACATAGTGTTTGGATACAGCAGAACAGCTTATGCTTAAGAATGTCACTGCCTGTATTTCATTTGTTCTGTGGACAAATTGGAGGATCCCCTTGTAGGGCTCTCACTCCCTTTTGAAAAGTATTTATGTCATCTTGGTTTGCTCCTCCTTTCCATTCTTTCATTTTCTTTTTGATACCAATAGAACTTTATAAAAATCATATGCTTTTATTAATGTGAAAAATTTTATTAATATGTGAAATACTTACCAAATATATTGCTATTAATTGCTAGGTATTTTGGTTCTTTTGTACTTTAACAGATAAGCTCTACTTCTAAAAATATATCCAAAGCAAAACAGCTGATTGAAAAAGCAAAGGCTATACAGCATAA